CTTCTCCCTCCAAACTCAGAATGCTCTCACCATGATGCCCAGAGGGGCGGTAATCTGCAGTGTTAACTCTGCCACTGGAGTGGTTTCCAGTCCATGGTTCCAACACTTATTAGTTCTAACCACTTCCCATTAAATCATGCTGCTCTTCCTTAGTTGACATGCACAGTCAGGCAGTCCTTATCTTCACGACAACCTTATAATTTAAAATCTAGCTGGTGCTATTTCAGAAGTCTTTCCATATGTGTGTATAGATTGTTTAATATAAAAGTATCGGGGAGGGAGGAGAGTATAGCTCAGTGGTAGAGCACGTGCTTAGCATGCACAAGGTCATGGGTTCGATCCCCAGTAACTCAGTCAAATAAGAAATAATAACAATAAATAAAGAAATACATCTAATTACCTCCCCCACCAAAAGCAACCAGTGGATTTATCCTGATGAACACATTATTTCTCCAGGGCTGCTCTTATATAAGATGTCTAAAATGAGCAAGTAGTTTTAGGAGCTTGAATTTCATTTTCACAATACAAGGCAACTGTTCATTTTCCTTCAGTCTTTTTCCTGACTTGGGCTACTTACTTCGCATCCTTTCTGTGGAATCACTTTAGAGAATCATGGCCTCATCGTACATGACACATTAATGCTCCAAAATAAATCAAATCCCTAAAGCACAATTTACTTAGCTCCCTTCACCCTCCCTCCAACAAAGAGGAATTACTGCAGCTTATCAGGTAAAATAATATACACAATTAATCAGGGAATAGGAATAATCTTCATAAACTCTAACAGATGATGGATGTTTCTGGTTTACGTCCTGCCAAATTTACAGACTCCTACTCTAAGAGTTTTGTGGTGCTGAAACATGCACGTGCTAACTGGTGCCCAGCTGCAAAGCCCATCACCAGCTTCACGGGCAACAGACTCAAATACCGACGTCCCTCATTTGCCATCTTGGTAAATATCCAGAAATCGTTCTGCTTGGGAAAAGTGTTTACAGCCAAACAGAGTCAAAAAGTGGTAACATATTAGGAAGATCCTTGAAAAATTCACAATATTATTTATTTATAAATGGAGGCAGGACTTTCCTAAAGTTTTTTTTTTAATTAAAACAGAAAAGTTAGTTACACAAAGCAGTTTATGAGTAAAATGGCATTCCGAAATTATTATGTTCGGTGAATTTGTTTTCATAGGTGGTGGGGAAAAAAACATGAGGCCAAGAGTATAGCTCGAGATGTGGGTTCCGGTTAGCCACATCACTTGCGAGCTGTGTGCCACAGCACCCATCACCTAGGGTGGTGGTGAAAGCTAAGGAAACGATGCACTCAAAGGATGCTCAGCAAAGTGCCAGGCACACAGAGGAGCTAGAAAATGGTACTTACCTACTTACTTACTTTCTTATTATTTTTTTACAGGGGCAGGTGGTGGGGAAGAGAGAAAGGCAGGTAGATAGGTAGGTAGGTGTGGTCATGTCCGGATATGATTTTACACCTCGGACACTTATATTTCCAGCTCCCAGCTCACTGAACTTCAGGCCACCGCAGTACTACTTCGTGCAAATACTGACCTTCTGTATGTCTGGAAATTTCTGCCTTTGTCATTTCCCCTTTGCGGGGAAATACTTTATTAAGCTTCTCCAGCATGGGGCATGGAGATGATGGTTTTCAGAACTCAATGGTACTTCTATAAATTTACATTATCTCATTTAATCCGTCCACTAACCCCAGGAAGGAAATGGCCGTAAAATTCAAGTATTCTCCAAATTTCTTTAGCCATGGTTTTCTAATTTTCTCAAGAAAAAAAAGTTGGGGAAAAATTGTAGAATAGATAAACAAGATTAGACTGTATAGCACAGGAAAATATACACAAGATCTTATGGCAGCTCACAGAGAAAAAAATGTGACAATGAATATATATATGCTCATGTGTAATTGAAAAATTGTGCTCTACACTGGAATTTGACACAACATTGTAAAATGATTATAAATCATAAAAATGTTAAAAAAAAAGTTGGGGAAATAATTCTATTCTAATGGTTCCCCAAGCATGGTCCATCAGCTTTATTGGAAATGTATTCCCAATGCGAAATCTCGGGCCCCACTGGAGATCTACAGAATCTGAAACTCCGCGGGTGGGACCGGCCACCTGTGGTGAACAAAGCCTGCGCGTTACTGTGACCCACGCTAAAGGCTGAGAAGCCCTGCTCCAGTCTAAGCCACCACCACGTCTTACGTACTGCACAGTAGCCTCTAAACCGTCTCCTCGCATCCACCCTTACTCCTCTAAACCCCGTTCTCCTCAGAGCAGCCAATTTTAAACCATCCTGTCCCAGTTCAGTCTAAAACCCTACAACAGCTCCCACTGTGCCTCGACTAAATCCCAAATGCCTTCCCATAGACGCCCTGCCTGGTGCAGTCCCCTGCCTGCCTCTGTTTTCACCTTGTGTTACTCTCTCCCGTGTTTACCATCTTCTGGACACACTACTCCTTTATATTCCTGCAACACTGGAAGGCTGTTCCCGCCTCGGGCCCTTCCGTGTCCTCTGCCTGGAACACCCCTCTCCTCGCTCCTCTCCCCTAAGCTGCAGGGCTCGCTCCTTCTTGTAACCCAGGTCTCAGTATCAGTGTCACCTCCCCAGTCACACCCCCGAGTCACTCTCTACCTAACCTTGTTTTATTGTCTCCCCCAGCAGTCACCACAACCTGAAATGATTTTGTTTGCTCGTAAGCTCCACGAGAGTAGGAAGCACGTCTGCCCTGTGTAAAGTAAATATTTGTCAGAGGAATACAGTCGTTCTGGGAGCTCTGGTTCACCATCTCCACTTACGGTCTGCGGTGAAGATGCAGCCCTCAATGCCCTCTCTGTCCCCTTCAAATGGCCCCTGAGCAACCTGTGGTCCCCAGCTTCACAGGATGGGCTGATGTAACACCATCTGAGCTGTTTCTCAATTTGCCAAGATATCAATGTCTTACTAGTGAAAAGGCAACACCAGTTTCCCTATAGACATTAATAAAAATGTTAATGATCAAATTCTTTTCAGAAAAAATAAATGATAATTCATTAAATAAGGTCATCTAAGTTGCTTTTCACGGAAATCAATAAAGGTATTTTCATTTTGATTAGAAAAAAGAGAGCCTAAAACCATTTTCACTTTTTTTTTTTTTAATTTCCCTGAGTAAACCATTTATTCTACATGGTCAACTCCAGCAGGCCCCCTCCCAGTAATGTAGTGTTAAGAACAAGGACTTGCTTTGAGAATGACCTGCTTTCCAACATTTATCATTCTGTGACCTTGGTCAAGTTTCTTAAATCCGCATAGTCTGGGCTTTCTCATCCCCAGAACTTGGATCGCAGTAAGTTACAGAACAGTAATTATGAGAATCAAGCAGGACAACATTTGTGAAAGTGACTGATAGCAGTTACAGTTTTCCTGAGTGTTAATTCACACCAAGTGTTCTTTCTGCTAAGCTGTCAAGCACATTATCTCTTTGATTCTTATCCACTATAGATAGTATTATTCCCATTTTATAGAAATTGAGACTGAAGAGGTAAGTAATTAGCCTACGGTCAGAAAACTCTAAGCATCAGCACTGGGCTTTCAAAAGTAGGTTTACCTGACTCGATGGCTCTTGTCCTTAACCGCCACTGGCATCGCTTGTGAAATGCCAAACGTGGGTCCAATGACATGGCAGGGGTTCTATAAATGTGAGCTTATCTTCCCCACAGCCTTCCAATCGTGCCCCTTTTCCTACTCTGCACCACTGCGAGGTACTGCTGCCTCAATCTATTTCACTGAACATTTTTAAAGGTTTTCCTTTTGATGGAAAACTATCCCAATCGTCTGAGAGAAGACAGTTCGAGAACTCACACAACTGCCTACACAGTGCCTCACTAATTGTCCTTACTCCTTTCAGGAAATGGGCTAAGATTTTTTTTTCCCTAAAAGGTCATTGAACAAAATTGTTACCTTTTATATCTGTTTAGCAACATTTATTGCCAATACTAAAAATCAAATGCAATGCAGATTCAACACGAGTACAATTTAGGAGTAAATACTTAAGCACAAAAAATTCATCACTGTAAGTCTAGAAGATAAAGTTTAAACAAAGCTATTAAAAACTGCATGTTGAGCTGACATGAGACCCTAGGAAATAATACGACACTATAAAGACACAGGGAGACACTTCTGTAAATGTGAACAGGAAAAGGAGCCAAAGTTAGACGCAATTTTGAATAATTTTTTTTTTTTTGAATACAGTAATTGAAGGCTGGCCAACATGTTGTGAATTGACTCTGGTTAGATTGTGAGTCCTACAGCCAAAGACTCTAAACAGTAAAAGCCTATACAGCTGTGTTTCCAGCTCAAAAGCCTGTTGCAGGTGGATCAATCTTTGAAACAGCCTCACATGCACAGAGAACAATACTGTTACAAGAAGCAAGCCAACTAGGAAAATAATGGCAAGAGACAAAGCAAAGTAATGAGATCATCTGTTTCTGGATTTGTGTGAAGAGGTGTTACCCTCAGTCCCTGTTCATATGTTTTCCTCAAAGTTACAAAAAATGTTTATAAATCCAAAGGATCTGTCAGGCAAAAGATTACTTCCTTATTTCAAATGGCATTCTATAGCAACATCTGGTGCAACAAATTAATTCAATCAATTTCTTAAAGTTCCCTTATTAGAGGATAATAAATGATTTTATAATGTTTAAAGTCCATTTTAATTTATGAAAGCATTTTCTAAAATAATTACACCAGAGCAATAAGCTTGGTTGGTTTTGATGTAGAAAACTCAAAGTTATTTTGAAGAAAGAAAAAAGAATCCAATTTCTAAGTTTTGTAAAATCTGACAGTTCATATTAAAGAACAATGAGCCACTGGAAATAAATAAAAGCAGATTTGACAGACTGCAATACAACACTTACATGTATTTTTAAATGGCATTTGATTTTATTTAAAATAAAATCCTAACAAGGTGTCCTAGGGTGAAATGCCTTGATCTCTTACCTTGCCGTATTTCTGGGCATAAGATCCCGTGAGCAGTGAGTGGAAAACAATGATGGTTTCATCCAAGTCCCAGACAAACACACGCTGGAGAAAAAGAGAAATATCGAAGAATTATCAAGTTCTAAAGAAACAGAAATCTCTTTACAAGAAGAAAACATTTCGCTTGGTTGCTGGATATAATCTTGATATCAGTATACAGAAATCTCTGCTACTCTATTCTTTTTTCCCCCAAATCTGTGGGATCTAACCCCTGTAAAACCTGAGGAGCAAGAGCGACACAAAGTAATAGGCTTAAAAATCAGATGTCCTAATGAATTCATCCAAATATTTACTTGCAGTTAATATCCAAAAAGACATACTTGAAGTTTATGATAGATGTGTGCTATTATGAAATTTTATGTCTCATGGATTCATGAAGTTTTGCAATTCATGCAAAGAATTAACTTTTAAAAAATATTTAAAAGAATCAAAGAGCAATCCCTAAATAGAAATTGTAAAGAGTGGCTCCTTGGGTCAGGTTAAGTCCTAAGGTGAGCTGTTTGGCCTGCAGTGTTTTGAAAGATTTCAAATTATTGATCAACATTCCAAGATTAGAAGATATCACATAAACTTCAGGGTTCTGACTGCAGCAGACAAACTTCCAGGCTGTCTGTGGCAATGCTGGCTGACAATCCACATGGCAGTGATGAAGGGGACTTTTTAGACTTAGCCAGTGCTCCCCACTCCTCACAGTCGGCAGGCTCTCTAGCCCAGATCACTCATCTGTATCACCTGCCGGTTCCTGAAAGCATCTGAATCTGCTACTGTTGTTAACACAAAGGAAATGATCTCTTATAAAGAGGTGCAGTGGCTATTCCTTGACTTCACTAAATCTGGAAATTTAACTTTTCTCATAATTAAAATATGCAGTTGTGTAAGAGGTAACATCATGGTTAAGAATAGTTTCTTCTGATGTTTTATAATAAAAATCAACCTGCTTAGCATAGGTATATCTCAAAAACAAATCCCAGCTGGAAAAAATGACACACAGAAACTTCTATAGATATAAAAATTTTAACTTACATATCAAACGACTGGAATTTTTTCTTATTTTTGGATGACAACTTTTCCTTTCCAAAAGGATTCATTTTTATCTTTTAAAATTTACTGACCCATATAAACATCTTTCATTACCCTGGTACTCTCAAATAGAGTGCTTCGCAGATGATCA